CATTGGCATCCAATGTCAGTTCCTGTGATTTCAGAGTAACTTGCATCTCTCAGCAAGCACGGAGTTTAGAAAAATATTCCAGGACAAATATGTTATAAAAGGAAATATGGTAAGAGCCAAAAGTAGGAAGTATTCATTTTCCTGAGCAAGTATAATGGTATAATATTTATAAAGAAAAACTAATAAACTTAGTTGGATGTTTTCTCCTTTTATAGAGTAGGATCTGAATTTTATTCAAACCAGGAGCCAACCAATAAAATTACAAAATGACACGGCATTTGTATACTGCTTTATCGCATGCACTTCTCATAACAGCAGAATGCAGTCAACAAGAGATTAAGACCAAATTTGCTCTTATTTTATAAGTAAGGATACTAGGTCTGAGACAGATAAAGTGGCTTGCTCAAGGACACACTGCCAGTAACTAGCGAAGTGCAGATATGAGAAGTCAGCCCTCTGGCTCCATGGCTCCATATCACGTGCTTTCAGTAGAGATCACATCAGAGCGTCATCTCAGGTTCTGTGAAATTTAACATAACTCCTAGGTGCTTTTCCCTCACTGGACATTTGTGGTTATCTAAAAGATTAATTCATGACAGCATGACATAATTTACTTAATTCCTAACCATTCAGGAATAACTAGCCTTTGGAGGTGGTAAAGGCTATTTGTGTGATCAAATATGTGCTTATGATATGATCAGAAGTGAAAATTCAAAAGAACTGATTTCCAGTAGAAGAGCCTACAGAGTGACATAAATGGTAAATCCCTCACACCATTTCCTTTTCACCCCCAATTTCCACATTACACAGTCACAGTAGTAAGATCCACCTTCCTCAGGCTCTGAACACAGCTTTAAAGAGGTTAAAAAAAGGAAAACACACCATTGTTCCACACAGATATCCATAACAATCACAGTATCTCAGCATCAGGTCTGTCAGACCATCCTCTGAGCAAGGGCTGACAAAAATGGGTTATCTATCCATCTTATGTCCAAATCAACCCAGAGATAGACCAGAAGACCATAAATGAGAGGACGTATGAATGAAACAAACCTCCTTCCATGAAGAGCTTCCTCGCCTCCCCCTGGTTTACAGTGGGGTAAGACAGACTGACAGTGACTCGGGACCACTGCTTCCAAATGGATGCTTGTCCCCATAAGTAATAACCAAGTTTATTCAAGTGCACTTAAATATTAACTTTAACAAAGGAGATTATCAAAAGTCCAAGTTTGTTCATCTAGCTTTGTCAGCTTTATTTTTTCCTCAATGTATGAGTCTGATCATTTTTAAAGGTTTATTATAGTCCCTCATGGTTACCTTTTTACCCTTACTTTAAAAGAAAACTAATGGAAAGGTGAGATTCAATATACAGAAATGTCCATTACAGGTTCATATTTCTAGAATATATCTATTCCATTTGGTACTGTGAATATTCTAAACTAAGCTGGTATAACTGATTTAAATCACTGTTTCCTTCTGCAAAGGGTGGCACCTTCAAGCAGGGAAGTGCATGATTTGCTCACATCTCTAAAGTGTACTAACACTACATGAACCCATAGTCCAGTTCTACCTCAAGCAAGTTTGAGAAATGTACTCATAATCCATATCTATTATTTTTCAAAATTAAAGTAAAGTAAGGAAGAAAAGCTGGAACTGATGAACTATTTCAGGTATCTTATTGCAAGTGTTAAAAACAATCCATCTCTCACCATTTCCTAAACACTATAAATGCATAGAGTTCTATCCTACCAAGCAGCTCTCCAGGTCCCACTCAAAGACCAACAGCTGACTATGAAGATAAAACTGCTGCTTCTCTTGACATTCAGTTCAACCAGCATCTTTAAAAAAATTGCAGTTAAGATTCTCAACTCCAGGGGCATTCCTTCTTTATGAAGGAAATAGCTAAACCACTAAACTCGGAAGCACCAGACTTTTTTTAATGTTTTTTTTTAAAGTCACATAAAAATGTATCCAAATCATTGTCATGACAGCTACCGGGTAACAGGCATGTACTTAACGTTAGGCACGCTACTAAATACGTCACCCAGTTTCACTGATTCCTAACAACGCTGCAATGTTATTACACCTCGAAGCTCTGAGAAGGTAAGTGATCTGCTCAAGGCCACCCAACTAGTCACCTGAAGGGTAGGATTTGAACTCAAATTCACCTAGCTCCAAAGAATGTACGTTCTTCTAAACTGTGCTACTGCCCCATTTCCCAACAGAGGAATGAATAGTAAGAGGAGTGAATGGATTTGTCCTGCAATCCTAATCATTTCACCAAAAGGAGAAATTTCCTAAATCAGAACCACTTTGTGATATCCACAGTGCATTATTTAAACCTCAATTCTTTTTAAGAAGTAATTAACAGGTTAAGCAGAAAGGTCAGAAATCCTTTTAAACTGAACTACATTTCATCACAGACCTGAAAGTGAAGTGTCATCATGGCGAAGTCCCTAGAGTTAGTAGTTCTGTGTGCCCGACACTAGAGCAAAGTACCAAGCACTCATTCAATTCAAGTGCATTGTGAGCACCTGCACTGGGTTAAGACTCCTCCCTAGCAAAGAGGGCACAGAGCTAAGTGAGAAGCCAGCCGCATCACAGCCCTCAAGGAGTTAACAGACCAGGAGTCCATTTACACTACTCATACAGTTACTATTAGTCAAACAAATAAATGAAGTGTGAGAAATCCTAAAACAAAAGTACGGATAACATGCTATCAGAGAAGGAAAGCAACTGGCCTACTTGTCTCCTTATATTCTAAGTAGTGTTTGTTTACATTCTGTCCCTCCCTGACAACCCCTTCCAACCTGTCAACCTCCCTCCCCACAATCCCCCCACGCGGGCACACACAACCACACCATCGGGAAGGAAAGCCTAAGAGCAAGGATTATACTTCCTAAAAGTGACCTTGCTGTTGTACTTTTAAAAGTACAAGCTTATGCCATTAGGACATTTTTCTTTAGCTTTGTCAGGTGAAGAAAGTTGGTTCTTCAAAGCACAATGAGGCCAACCAAACCAGAAAAACCCAGGAACACTTCACATTACTCACTTAGCATGAGAAACCAGTCAAAGCAAACTGACATACTCCATATTTCTCAAAATTTTTCTTTTAATTTAGTAGATGACAAAGTGATCTAACAACTGAAAGGAACACATTCTGGTCATTTTGTTCCACCACGAATCTGACGGACAATTAAGCTTGTTCCACCTGGGGGATTTAAAGAGACTCATTCTCACACCGTAAGCCAAATGAACCGAATTCAGTACAATCCATGCACCCAAAGCTCGACAACAAGGCAGGTACTTCTTGCAGTATGCAAATCCCCAAGAGACCACGGAAGACCACGGGACTGTTAACACTGATTTACCTCAGCTGATGAGAACGCCTTTACAAATTTGCAAAAAAAAAAAAAAAACTTTCCAAAACTGCCAGTGTTCGTCCTGATCTAGGCAACCCAATGGTTTAAAAAAAACTAAGTTTCTTCTGAAAATAAGATTGGGAGGGGAGGGGGTAGTTGTTGAATAAGAAAAAAAAAGGCACACTGCTTTTTCCTTTGGTTCTGTATGCCTGCGGCAACAAACTCTCAAAATAACTTCACTGAGGAGTGTAAAAGTTAAGACGAACACCGAAATATATTGCTCAATCCAACTTACATTGTGAACTCATGAGTGCAGTTAAGATCTAGAGACTTAAATGCGATGGAATCATTTCGCTGTAAGAGCTATTTCCAAAAACAAAAAACAGAAAGCCTATCCTTTCTTCCGATGGAAAGACTCTTGAGGATTTCCCCCATGTTTTTAAAAGCTCTTCACATACTGGTTGGCTTTAGGGGGGAAAGGGCGGCGGAGGGGAGGAGGGGATCAGTAAAACATATTTATTAAAAAAAAAAAAGTTTTGTTTGGTCTCAAAGCATGGCTGCACTTGAACCCGGCAGAGTTGAGCCGGT